GGATTGTATTTTGGTTGCGTAGTTCGTGTCATGTTTGTTTTTGTTTTTGCGGATTGTATTTTGGTTGTGTAGTTGTGTATAAAATGTTCTTGACGTAAGAGGAGAGAAAAAAGAGACTTCCCACGATCCTTCATTTTTTCTGGACTCGTGCATCTGCATGAGGCAACAGAAACATGAGAAGAAACAGAGAGAACAAACGAGAGAAGAGCTTGGAAATATGATGCACAACTTACCTTGACATTCTTTCATGTGCACAAAACTACCCAAGAGTAAGATTRAATTCTTCAAATCTGATCCATTGCATCTTTAAGGTGTTATAGCTCTGAAAATGCAGATTAAAAAAAAAAGAGTATTGTCTATAGAATCAATCTATGACTTATGGACACTAACAGTAGATAACAAAATTTCTAATATTCTTTCTTAGATATATATCCATATCTACAAAGATACCAACTTCTTTTCTAATAACAAAACATCACTTAGCCACAAGATATAACTTTATATCCGTTTTAAACAATCCGACATACCCACGGCACAAATACTAGTAATGAATGTTTTACCTTTCCAAAAGTTTCGATCAAATTTCTTTATCATATCCTCTATCGATCCAGCAGCAAGGTCACACTAAGTTCTGTTCACCTGCAAGTTACAAATTAATTAGACAGTCAATTTTGGTGTGAAGATACCTTTATCAAGATGCACTATTGGATAAAAAAAAGAGAAACTAATTCAGCTCTCATACGTACAATAATTAGAAAATCACCCATTAATTGTATGGCTACTAATCTTTCCAGACACCTCTTAGCTGAATAAAAAAAAGAATGTGTTTGCCTACAAAAGTTATAAGAAAATAGAGTTATAGTACTTGCATTATTAAGCGTAATCATAAACAAATAGCACTGAAAGTTGTGGAATAACATAAGTGATGTAAACTCTGATAAAAATCATCCCTTTAAAAGTAGTGTTTGGCAAAATGAAGATTTAAACCTATTAAAATCATTATGTGAGAAGAG